TAAATAAATGACCAAGTCTAATATTTTTGTCTCATTTGTTTAATTTGGTTCTCTTTATCTACTATTAGTATTTGTGTGAAAATCTGAAGAAGTTTTAGGTCAAATTCAAGCAGAAAAGTCACAAGAAGTCACAGCGTTCACAAACTTTCAAGCACCACTTTAGATAAAAAGTACATCATGCTGTGTCAGAAACCACATTTCTAGTTTTAAAACATTGGAAAGTGTCATTTAATTTTTGAGTAGTTCTCAGAGTCAGACAAGATACCATTTAAAGCACTTTAAACCTCAAAACGAGCACGAAACGGGGTTACGCCTCATCATTTTACATGTTTAAGACGTCATGAAACCTGTTTCATATTTATCCGCATGACCTCACTGTTTGCATATTTAACATTTTTGGTTGTTTGACATGCACTAGGGAAATAGAAGAAAGTGGAGTAGCCTACAAAAAACCTTTTTCATTTCATCCAACCAGACATCTCATCTTTTAGTATTTCTCTCGTTCTCTCCTGCTTTATCCTCTCACTTTCTCACTATCTTTTCTCTATTTCACAATTTTTCTATCTTCCTTTCTTTACTCTCTCTCTCTTTTGCTCATTCTTTTTCTTCACTCTCTCTCTTTATTTCATTTTCATTATGCTCTGTTCTCTCTTTACCTTTCTCCTGCTATCATATCTATCTCTCTCTTTTTTTTCACTCTCTCTTTCCCTTTCTCTCCCTGTCTCTTTACCCTCTTCATGCTCTCTCTGTCAGTCTCTCGTTACCCTCTTCTTCCTCTCTCTCTTTATCCTTCTATTTCTGAGAATAAACAGAAGACCACTGAGAGCACATGAGACAGTAACTCTTCAGTCCCTATGATATCTCAGCATATTCTACAAAATACATGAATAAAAATACAAAGCTGCTAATTACACATAAAATTTAGACATCATGCTTCATTTTCAGTCGTTGCAAATTCTCTTTAGACCTTCTGTCATCAACACTGCTTGTTGTCTCTTTGTGATATTTTAATAGCTCACTAGCATCACTAACTGCTTGTATTCTGATGTATTTTTAATGACCTGAAAAGTAAACAAATATATAAACACTTACAAAATTTCTGGATAAACAGTGAAGAACAAGCGCAAAGGCAAAATGAAAGAGAATCTGTGAAGAAAACACTGCTGCAAACTAGCGCTAGAGCTGCTAACCTGATGTACGCTAATGTGATGTATATAAAGCGACGTATGCGAGTGAAGCGAATGATCCAGTCAGAACAGATGAGAAGCGTTTCAGTGGCTCCGCTGAGGGTGATGAATGGGGTTTCGGCACGGCAGAAGGTCAGAGACTTCAGTAATGTGATGAGAATGAGCTACAGATCACTGAATTACGAATGTTAGCGCGCACTAACAGCACGCCTCAGTCTCTGTTGAGCTGATGTAGCAGCTCAAGACTGGAAACGTGTGGGTGCTGCTACAAACATGTTCCATTGATTTCTGGCACAATGGACATTTATTTGGCATAAACGGGTATAGTTTCTGTGTTCGCCTTTTTACAGCTACAACACAGCATCACCACAGGCAACAGATGTGAACTCATGCTAAATAACTATTTAGTTTATTTGCTGCTATAAAATGGATCTACTGTGTTTCATGTTAGCATAATGCAGGCTAGATGCTATACCACATTAAGTTCAGTATCCAGGGAGTTCCCTGATTCACATCATTTGCTTTATCAGAACCTGTCATAATATTCAAGCATGCCAACCTTTACATAATACTACTTTTTATTTTGTTATAACTCTAATTTCAACTATTACTTTCAACATGCTGTTGTCTCAAGCATTCAGCAAGCAGTCAATATGAATACAAGCAACACACATCTATGCTATTTACAGCCGGCTGAAATTGTAATGTTTGTTGCATCTCAAAGATATTGCATCTTGGCTGCTGAAGCAAAATTCTGTAATTAACAGCTTTCACTAATATAGGACAGTTATATTAATTAACCAAAATCCATTAAAATATCCACAGATATATTTGTTTATCCAGCTAAAGATGATGAAATGCAGTCATGGAATAATGGGGATATCCTGGTTTTAACGAGTACTTTACCCAGGCCCAAAAAAATAAAGGAAGCACAGAGAGTGCTCTTAGCATAAATACATAGATTCTTTAAAGGCTTTCCACAAGATTTTGGAGTGTGTCTGTTGGAATTCGTGCCCATTAATTCAAAAGAGCATTTGTGAGGTCAGACATTGACATTGGACAAGAAGGCCTGACTCACAATCGACATTCCAATTCATCCCAGTTGTGTTCAGTGGGGTTTAGGTCAGGGCTCTGTACGGACCATTGGATTTCCTTCACACCAAACTCAAATCACGTCTTTATGGACCTCGCTTTGTGCACAGGTGCACAGTCATGCTGGGACAGGAAATGGCCTTGACCTCCAAACTGTCACCACAAAGTTGGAAATATATAATTGTCTAAAATGTCTCTGTATGATGTACAAAAAAAAACATTACCCTTCACCCTTCAGGGAAAACCCTGAAAAAGAGCCCCAGACCATTATCCCACCTCTGCCAAACTTTTCTGTTGGCAGGTGCAGTCTAGAATTTAGCGTTCTCCTGGCTTCCACCAAACCAAGATTTGTACATCATCCGTACATCAGACTGCCAGACAGTGAAGTGTGATTCTTCAATGTCCAGTGGAAGTGTGCTTTACAGTACTTCAGATGATGCTTGGCACTGCCCATAGTGATCCTAGGCTTGTGCGCAGTTGCTCAGCCATGGAAACTCATTTCATGAAGCTCCTGATACACAGTTCTTGCTTCCAGAGGCAAACTGGAACTGTAGTAAGTAAAGTAACATAGGATAGGTGATTTTTATATGCTATGCTCTTCAGCACTCACCGGTTGCTTCTTGGCTGAGCTGTTGTTGCTCCTAGAAGCTTCCATTTCACAATAATAGCACTTAAAGTTGACTGGGGCATCTCACAAACTAACATGTCGCAAATTTGGCATCCTATGACAGTGCTACAGTTAAAGTCACTGACCTCCTCTGTACAACTAATTCTACTGTCAGTATTTTTCTATGAAGATTGCATGACTATGTGCTCGATTTAACACAACTGTTAGCAATTGGTGCGGCCAAAACACTTGATCTCAATAATTAGGAGTGACCACATACTTAAGGCCATATAGTGTATGCATATCCATATGCTAACAGCATGACTTCAAATTTTGTTACTTATTATGTTATAGCACCATGTCTAATGAAGTGCTAAAGGCCCAATAGACATGCAAATTAAATGCCTTTCATCACATATCACATTAATTGCAGGTTAATCACTGCTATACAGCAGGACATCTGTGTTTTCTATGTTAGCATACTGTAGGCTATATGGAAGACAGCATTAAAGTGATAATTTGGAGAAAAAATACATTTCTAACATTATATGACACTGTGACATGTGTCAGAGCATGGTGTGAGGCAAGTGTGAAAATTTAGATATGCAGTTTACAGGACTAAATGGTGTGCCTAAGCTTTTTATATTTTTAGAAAATATAATTTCAGTGGATTATGGTACGATTATGTTCCCTGACTGAAGGTACTGAGATGTACCCTTGAGGGTACAAACATGTCTTGGTGAGGCTAAGTGATGAAACTAGATACTTGTGAATGTTGCCTGAACTATTGCTTTGTCTTGCATTGCATCAAGATTCATACCACTGTAAGTATGACTAGTCTTCATATCAAACTGAAAGTATTAATGCTGGTATTTTATTTTCCCCTTTGGATACTGGAACATTAATATTTGGGTGCTACATGGTAACAATGAAAACTGACACAAACACATGACTTCGCAGGATTACAGAAACACTTAAATCAAAAAAGGATTACAATTGTAAAGCACAGACTACATCTCTATCTCTCTCTTTCACTTTGTCTCTCTCTCTCTAAGTATCTCTCAATAGTGGTGAATTAGAATAGATAATTAGTTTAATTATGATCAGGCGTAATGAGCCCTATTCAGCAGTATAGCGGAGACTCGTTCAAGGTGGTGCAGTGGCGTCGATATTTTTCCGGATGAGAAATCGATGAGCTCATTCAGAGTCAAATGGAGCTTGAAATGGGAGGGAAGAGCTGGATGCTCAAACAAAAACAAAACAAACAGCTTGATAATCGCTGCCGTTTTCTGCCAAAAGGCCGTTTTAATATGGATGCGCCCTTACTCGCCCAACAGCGATCGCTCTATCGCTCATGAAGTGCTGCGAGGGGGGATTTTAATGCTCATTATTTGCTGAGCCGGTGCTATCTCTATTTGTCTGTGGTGGTCCTTTTTTTTAAGACTCTAAGACAGACATTTTGTTGTAAGAGGCTATGTAAACAGATCCCAACAGCATCTATACAGAAACTGCCAAAAGAGGAACTACAGGGTTAGGAGAGCAAATGAGAGTGAAGCAATTTCAGAGTGACACTATCAGGGCATGAAGTTATTGAGGTAGTATGGTTACAGAGGTGAAAGGAGTCACTGCACTACAACATGGAGAGAATACTGCAGTCCAAATCATATATATATATATATATATATATATTTATATATATACACACACACACACACACACACACACACACATATATATTTATATATATATATATATATATATATACATATATATATATATATATATATATATATATACACACACACATATATAGAAAGAGAGAAAGAATAACACAAATTCCAGCAGATCATAAGCCTTTAATTCTTGGCCACTTCATATTCCCTAAAAGACCGGGCCACTCACAAAACGAGCCTGGCACTTTTTATTATGGAGATTAAATTTCTGCTAAACGGTTCCCAAGTGATAAAAAGAGCAGATAACGTTTTATGAGTTACCCAGTGGAGAATGTGATAAACTGAAGCGACTTAGGGAAAAGACCTTGTATCTTCAAGGGCTTAATAAGGCAAGTATGTCCAGTATATCACAATAACACTATTACAGTAATATTTACTCACCCAGTGGAGACTCCTCTGAGCAGGTCAAGTGGGTTTCATGGTGACATTCAACTCTCTCTCTCTCACACACACACGCACGCACTACACCTGCCTCAGCAGGGTGCGATTGTTACAGAGAACAACTGCGGAGAGAGAGAAACAGACAGAGAAATAATGTAAATATATATGTAAATATGAATACAGATACAAGTTTGTGTATTGTACAGTGGAAAAATCAGACCTTTAATTTATTTAATTTCCAGTCAAAATGGCCACTTAGTAAAAATGATTCTTTTTCAGTGTCAGTAAAAAGAAAATTCAGAAAATTTAATATTTAACAGAAAATCACACAGAAGCCTCATAGACTACCTACAATACCAGATTTTTTAGTATTGTTATGTGCCCACTCTTTACTGTCAACAGCTTCAATTCTTTTTGGAGACTTGCTTTCAGTTTTTCAAAGAAATCTGCAGGGATATGTTTCCACATTTTCAAAGCTCAGACTTGGAACTTGGTTGCATTTTCTGCACGTATTCTCAAACACATTAAACAATGTTGAGGTCTGGACTCTGGGGTGGTCAGTCCATTGTTCTGAGAACAGCAGCAGCTTCTTTGTTTGATTTGACTATTTCCTTTTCTCAGTAAGAGCTTCTTGTCAGCTACACATCCTTTCAGACTCATAGTGTTGAGTGTCTTCTGACAGTGGAAGGATGGACAGAAACACCTGTGGATGTTTTCAGATCTAAACCAAGAGTGGAGCTTGATTTTCTCCTCTCTCTGATGAAAGATGAAAGCTTTAAGTGCTTTGTTTATCTGATGGGGACAGTTTTGGTGTCTACCAGGTCTTGTTGTTAGGAGTTTCATTTTCTCTGCAGCTTCTAATAAAAATAAAATAAAAAAAAAAAATAAAATTCTTGTACTCTCGTCTTTTTTTCTCCTTCCTTGTGCCAGTGGATTATCTTAAATTTAATCTTCTTTGAAATATTTCAGCATTCAAATCTTTCAGCATTTCTTCTGAAATCAAGGGTATAACTAGGAAGTTTCTCTCCCTTCACTGCAGTAACAGCCTCTACTTTTCTGGGAAGGATGGTGGAACATTGCTGAGAGGATTTGCATTCAAACGCAAGAGCTTTAATAAGGTCAGATACTGATGGTGGATGATCATCTCTGGATCAATCCAACTCCTTCCAAAGGTATTGGATGGAGCTCCATCCCTCCAGAGAACGCAGTTCCACTACTCCACAGTCCACTGCTGGGGAGCTTTAAACCCCTCTACCCCTCTTGGCTTTGGGCATGGTGACCTCATGTGTTGCTGCTCCAGAGCATCCCATTCTATTGGCCAGTGCTTTTCTACAGACTCAGAGCAATTAAACACCTGTATCAGTAATTGGAACAGCTTAAAATAGGTGAATTTTGGATTTTGCACTCTACAAGAAACTATGTTGAGTGAAGAAAAGACAAGAAAAGTTCAGAGTGTACACCCCGGTGCATATCTCAAACATCAAGTCAAGTCTAAGTTTATTTATATAGCGCTTTTTACAACAGGTGTTGTCACAAAGCGGCTTTACAGAAAAAAAAAGTGATTTTCACTCCAGAATATTAAAGTGATGGCCAAATTATCAGGGGGGTCAATCAAATTTACTCATAAGTCAGTTTTAACACGCTGTAAAACGGTCAATTCATTCCAGCAAACAAAAATATTAGTCCAGAATTTTATATTATGAACATACTAATGCAGTGACCGAATTATAAAAACAGAAAGACTTAAGTGTTACTGAACAATACTCAACATAATATTTTGATCAGAACAAGACGCAATAAAACTGGATTAGGACATGCCTTATTCCTAAAAATATGTAAAAAGCCGAATTATTAAATGACTCAACTTTGTTTTGAGGATTTTTTTGTATTTTAGGGTAATGTTTATGATCATGACTTACAAGCCAATGTAATAATAGTTAATAATCAGGTAAGCTGCCCAGGCTTAACTATCTAGCTAATAATTCTAACTACACCCTGAACCACTAGGATGTGCAAGTCCAAATCAGTGTCCTGAAGCTGCAGGTGTAGAACCGCTGCCGGCTCTGCAGATGGACTCCAATTCCCCCTGAGGCTGGGGCAGTCAGAGAACAGTGTATTAGTGGAAAGGGAGTCCATATAGCCAGGCCAGAGAACAGCAGCATTCACTGTTTGATGAGCTGAGTGGAGATTGTAAAGACACTGTAGAACCTCTGAACCTATGGACTTTAGCTGCAGTGAGGGAAAAGAGGGCTGAGAGGACTGTCCATAGGGCCGAATGAATCGAAATCAATTATACACGACTACACTGCTCTCCAGGGAGAGAAAGAGCAGTCTCAGTCCTTATTGATCAGAGCGAGAGGAAGGTCAAAAACCTGACAAAGTGTGCAGAAATCAGAAAAATTCTGGGAAGTTCCTGGAATTGCCTCATATTTTCCTGAAAGGATCACAGAATACACTACCCGACATAAGTTTGGAATCACTTGTCGTATTGTTAATTTTGGTTGTTTGTCTACAGTAATAACATACATACTCATGTGCAAAAGTCTGCATCCCTTTTGTTAAAGAAAATAAATTAACACACCATCTAAAGAGAGCACATTTAAATGTGGCATTTTTCTGCACATTATATCTATATCTATATGGTTTAAGAAACAAAATATAAAATGCACCATAACTTTTGCACAGGCCACATTTTATGTTTAGTATTTCCCACAATATGTTAAATTCAACAAATAAACAGCAGCTGTGCAACAAAATGTGTAGAAGTATGTTCTCTGTAGAGGATGTGTTGACTTACTTTCACTTCAAAAAATTAACAAAATATGCAATTTGTCCAGGGGCGCCCACAGTTTTGCACACGATTATACAACGTAGATCTAAATATTATGAAGCAGATACTAAAAGGCAACTACAACTAACAACCACTATTTATTATTAAACTACTACTGATTATTTAAAAGCTATGGAATTGCACAGGATTTTTACAGTGTTCTGCAATAAAATTGGTTTTATATTACTGAAAAAAAATCAATTCCAAACCTTTGAACGGTCTTATACATCATAATTTCATATACGGTTAAAATATAAATTATTAAAAATATATAAAATAATAATAAAAATATAAATTAAAAAATATATATTAAAAGCAAACAAAGCACCACAATTAATTAATTCTTGCATTGGTAAAAAAGAGCAGAACGCCAAACTTCTGAATGTTACTTTCAACTTCAATATAAAGGATTATCTATTCACAGCAATTGCATAAGTGTTGAGTGTTAACATGCATTTTAAAAGCTTTGTTATTCCAACCATGAGTTAGTTAGGTGATCTTTTTTAAGGTGAGTCTCACAGTGTTACATTTGTAAGACAAAATGTATTGGTTCTTAAAAAAACAAAAACAAAATCAAACCAAAAATCTGTGGGTTCAGTGGGTTCCACTGAAGTCCTTATATTATAAAGGAGGAGACTGGTTTACTGGATGAAAAATGAACAGAAAAGCCCACAACACTCAACACTGCATCTGTTTATAGGGGAAGCTTTGGCTTTCAATAAAAAAGAACCAGCTGGCTTGCAGGTAAAGTCACAATGTGCAAAAGTTTGTATGTGCATAATTTGAACTCAAACTAACTATGTGATACCCATGATTTAAAATTTGTTTCTGAAAAATCAACATGACTTTCAGTTTTTAGGTCTCTTTCCATTCAAAGAGAAATAAGCCACAACTTTTATGAGTGGAAATAAATGCCATTGGCTCTGTTCGGATAGAAAACTTTGCTAAGTAACAAAGAATATCAAATCTTAACTTAGCAAAGCAGCAGTAAGAAATAATGAATCTGACATTTAGTAAATATCACATAGTGTTTCATTTCATCTCATTTTATGTTATTTCAGTTTCAAGTTTTTTTATTTGTCACATACATAGTCATACACATTACAACTAGCAGTGAAATGCTTGGAAAACTGCCCACTCACATGAAGCAATAAGGAAATAATAAACAGCAGTCAAATAGAAGAACAATATTGTAGAAACAATAATCCTATATATCCTATATATCTATGAAATATACACTATAAACACAATGGGGATATGAAATGTGCAATGTACAATGTATTTAAACTACTAAGAAGTTGTGATTTTGTTTACAGGTCTGAATACAAGCTGCTTTTAACACCTCACCTCTCATTAGTGTGGCTTGCCTTTTTTTCACATTGGGTTTAACATTTTGTTGTTTTTTGTAGGGATCACCATTAAATAAATAATACAACATAAATATTAATAATCTAAAATGCAGACACATTAATTTGCAGTGTGGTTATATGCAGTAACACTAAATTCTAAAAGTGCTCTGGTGTGATGACAGTTCTTATTGATCTGCATTTATCACCAAAAGTACAGTGCAAATAATTGCTGCTACCGCTGAGGAACTTCAAAGCATCATGTAAATCAACTGTGTTAAAAAGAAGAGGAAGAAATCACTCATGAATCGCCTCATAAAGACTCACATGCATTCATTAGCATGTATTTAGCATTAACTTTGCATAAATTAATTACTGGGATTCTTTAATCTAAAACGAGGCATCTGTGAACTGTTGTTGTGGTTGTTAGTTTTCTGATCTCCCCTACCTGTTCAGTTTAACCCCCTTATGCAGAGGGGAAATGGTTAATTTTACTGTTTAATTTACTCTTCTGACTAAATAATGGCACCTCTAGATGCTGATTTTGCTGTCATTTCAGTTACTTCAAAAGAAAAGAAAAGAAAAAAAAATACCTGCAGAAAGTGTAGGAAAAAATACTTCTTTTTTTATCTGCCTAAACAAATGTTTTCCACATGTAAAACAGGTTATTAAAGGGGAATCACACTTATTTCCAGAGAAACTTACTGAGTCAGTGGAGACAGGAACTAGACGTCTGGTTAATGCCTCTAAAGTTCCCTCACAGAACATTATGAATACACTGCCTGATGCCCCACACATTATTTTATGATCGATTTGAGAAGGGTTTGGCCTAAAGCTTTACATTTTTTAAAGTCTATTCATGTCACACATGCAGGGTGTACACCAAGCAGGCACAACACTAAAACCACCTCATTGTTTCTACACTCTTTGTCCATTTTATCAGCTCCACTTACCATACAGGAGCACTTTGTAGTTCTACAATTACAGACTGTAGTCCATCTGTTTCTCTGCATACTTTGTCAGCCCCCTTATACCCTGTTCTTTAATGGTCAGGACCCCCACAGGATCACTACAGAGCAGGGTGGGTGATCATTCTCAGTGACACTGATGTAGTGGTGGTTTGTTAGTGTTGTATTGCTACGACCACTGATGAAGGACTAGAGGATGACCAACACAAACTGTGCAGCAAGAGATGAGCTACTGTCTCTGACTTTACATCTATAAGGTGGACCAACAAGGTAGGAGTGTCTAATAGAGCGGACACAGTGTTTAAAAACTCTGATTCACTCATACCAGCACAACACACACTAACACAGCACCACCATGTCAGTGTCACTTCAGTGCTGAGAATGATCCACCACACAAATAATACCTGCTGGGGTTCTGTGGGGGTCCTGATCACTGAAGAACAGAGTAAAAGGGGGTTAACAGACAGATGGACTAATTGCAATGGCAGAACTACAAAGTGCTCCCATATAGTAAGTGGAGCTGATAAAAATGGACAATGAGTGTAGAAACAAGGAGGTGGTTCTAATGTTAGGGCTGACCGGTGTATACCAAGTGAAACAGTCCACCAGAAAAACTGATTTTTTCAGATTTACCCATATTTTATGATCATCACAACCACTGTTTTCACTGATTTCTGAGTTCTTTACAATTCGCATCAAACCACTCTGAATGACTTAGTTTACATATCAACCACTAAATTAATCAGAAATTCCTTTTAATAAGTTGTAGAAAACAGGTTATCAACCTTGGAACATATTATTATTATTATTGTTATTGTTATTATCATTATTATTATTATTATTATTAAAATAGAAAATATGCAATATTCGAAAAGTCTGGACTCCCTCTGTAAAATTAAGTTTTTCTGATTAAGTGAAAATAAGTTGCACATCTTTTTGAAGAAATATTGTTTCAAGGAAATCAAGTGATCTTACCAGTAGATTAAAATAAATTGGTTAAAACTGAAAAAATGACTAGAAGTAACTATGAACCACGTAAATACAGTTATGGAACAGTTGCCTCCACAAGATTATGTTGGTCAGTTAATGCAGTCTTTTGCAATTATATGTTATGTTGATTTTCTAAGTGAAAACAAGTTATCATTGACTTGTACTACAGTGAGATAAATCATCGCTGACGAGAGCGAGCTTGAAGAGAGTCTTCCTTACTGAGCTCCTGCTAACCAACACTCGTCTTCAGTCCTTCTATTGTTCCTTTTAGTCCAGTTAATAGAGACGATACAAGCTACGGCTGTTTTTCATGCTAACAGCCATCCCCTCTCAGGGAGATAACGACTATTGGGTTTCAAGTACAAGCAAAGACGCATCTGTCTTAAAGCAAATCGCTGTTTTGACTGATCTGTTGGAGAACTGCATAAGGACCTTCGCTCTGTTTAATGCCAACATGAAATAACATTCAGAGCAAGCGGTTTAGCTTCTGTCAGTTGACATTTTGGGATAATTTAGTGAGATTAAGACAGTGTGTGCTTTTGACATTTAGTGCCTCAGAAACAGTTGGTGTTTAATCTTACCAGTTTAAGGACGACAGGATGGATGAGCTGCCCTGACCAGAGGAACGAAAGAATACAACTCCTCCTCCGAATTTCCCTGAAAGACACAAATAAGAGACAGAGTTAGAGACTTAGACCATATGACCACTCTCCTTCAATATCAATCAATATCGAAAGAAGCCCACATGATGGCACATGACACATCAACTAAAAGAACAGATGGACTTTAAACAATTTAAAGGGTTCATTATCATTTTTCTGAGGAGGAGGAATCTATGGCATTTGTGTGATTTTATCCCTTACAAAAAAGTCACATGGATGTCACATAAAATTAAACACATCGTTCACGTAAAATGTAAGCATGTGGTTTTTGCACACTTTACATGTGACATATGATTTATATATGTGATTATGTGATTTAACTGTAAGAGATGCTCTAAAACAGTCATAATTTATGTTTACATCACCCTTTCCCAACCTTTCTTTATCCCTTTTAATTAAACAAGCTGTTCTTGTTTCTGTGTCTTTAAGACTGGTATATGTAAATGATCTCCATTCTGATTGACTGTCCTGTAATGCAACTCGTTCAAAAAGTCCAGGCTGAAACACTGCTTATAACTAAAATGTGAATGGGTGGGGCTAAACGGATGCAGGCTGAATAGGTGGATATATGTAAATGTGTAGGTTTTTGTGACATCACAAAAACAATAAATCCAAAACAGGCTTCAAAACAGACATCTTTAATAACATGAATGATGATAAATTTTAAGTTTGTTTTAAACTTTCCTATTGCTTTTTTTTACAACAAACATAGACGGACTTGCATACTCACGTATGTACATTGTGTACATGCTAGTCTATCTTGTTCTACTGAAATCTTGCTGCATTAACCTACATTAAAGAATATTTTTTCCTATTAAATGTGACAATAATTAAAAACTACAGTTACAAAGATGCTTTTTTAGTTTAGATGCTTTTTTAAAAACAAATTTAATGAAGAAAATGGTCCTGTATAGAACCATGAGCACTCAAAGAACCCTTTGCATGCATAAATGGGTCTTTGCATGGTGAAATAGTTCCTCAGACTGATGGATAATGTGTTAAAAAGGGTTCTATATAGCATCAAAAAGAATTCTTACATTGTTACACGTTTGACATCATAACAACAGAAGAACACGCTTTGGTACTGTATAGAACCCTTTTCAAAAAGGGTTCTTACATTGTTATGACATCAAACACATTCTCTGTCAATCTGAAGAACCATGTCACCAGGCAAGGAACCATTTAAGCATTCAAATGGTTCTTTGAGTGTTCATGGTTCTTTGTAGATCCACTGTCTTTACTAAAGGACCCTTAAAGAATCATGTTTTAAAAAGAATGTACTTAAAACTTTACAATAACCAAATAACCGAATATGTCCCTCTATGTATGATGCCAAAACACTATCATTCTGTTGCGAATCAATCGTGGCTGGTGCTAGAGCAGTAGATCTTAAGCTCCATCAGCCCTAAAAGTGTTAATCTGCCTGCTCTGTTTGCACTAGACCCACAGGACAGCTAATTTATTCGCTGATTGATTGAGGAGAACTGCAGTGGCCTCTGCACAAGCCCAGGCCAGAGCAATCAATGACAAAGTGTTCAAAACAAGCTCATACTGAACCACTCACTGCCAGACCTGCCAGACTTGAGCAATCAATGACTCAAAGAGAGCAGAGGATAAGGAGATAACACTTGTGCACACCCTCAGAACAAACCAATCGATGACAGAGCACAGGGCACCAAGTTACTTAAAAAAGCCAAGTCATGCCGAAACGTGAATAAAGGTTTTTGTCATTTTTTATTTTTATTTCTGCAAGTAGCTCATTATGTTCTTATTATCTCCCGCGTCATACAAACCCTTGACTGTTTTGACAACGTTTTCGGCTAAGTTAGGACATGGGACAAAAGATAATGAGGCATATTTGTCTCTTGTTCTTTTCTTCTGATTTTCAATGAGGCAGACTGCATTGTAACCCCCTTTTCTCTAGAACAAGAAAAAAGAAAAAGAGTTTTAAAGTATTAAAGTGAAAAAAGAAAGTTTTTCTTGCTCTCGCTCTTTTGCTCTCTCTCTCTCTCTCTCTCTCTCTCTCAGAGGCTCCTCCAGAGAGCTTTCTGTTTATTTACTAGCACCAGCTAATTATGTGGGAATAGCTGTTTACCCACAAGATCAAAAGGTTTCTTCCCTTTCTTCTAGAGCGATCTAAAAACGAGCGCTTTCATTCCAAGCGCCAACAAAGAGTGCTGTGTTCTTGCGCCGCCCAGTTAGCGCACTCATTAATTAGCTTGTATAATTAGTTTAATGATTTACAGAAACATGGTCTCAGCCACCCTAGAAGCTATGCTAATACACTCCTGTCTATAGCAATTACACTTCTAATCAGTTAGCTCAAGTAGCTTAGCCCTGCAGTCAGATATTGGATGTGGCGTCAGTGCTAGCAGTGTACCGAAGGAGCTAAGATGGCGTCCCAGGGCCTAAGGCAAACACGTTCAGAGTTACTCCAAGTGTGTCCTGAAGGGTTCACCCAAAATATCATTCAAAAAACAGGACGAAACATCAATGCAGATTAACATTATGAAGTAGCACTAGCATTTTGGCACTTTAAGACTTTAAAATAGGTTGATGCCTGAGCTAAGTTGAGCTAATTAGATTCTTCTTGTGCATAACAGAGTTACAAAAGATTAAGATTACGTGACCCTTATTAGTCCCATAATGGGGAAATTTCACCTCCACATTTAACCCATCCGTGCAGTGAAACACCACATACACACTAGTGAATGCACACACACTAGGGGGCAGTGAGCACACTTGCCCGGAGCAGTGGGCAGCCCTATCCACATTGCATAGGGAGCAGTTAGGGGTGAGGTGCCTTGCTCAAGGGCACTTCAGTCACATACTGTCGGCTAATGGAATTAAACTGGCGATCTTCTGGTCACAGGGCCGGTTTCCTAACCTCCAGGTAATGCCCCATGTAAATGAGGTTAAATACATACATGAGTGCACAAACAAGCAGCAGTATGAATGACTGATAGCATTTATTGCTGTTTGAGTTAAAATTTAGATTAGCAGTGACACCAGAGTTACAGTCTGCTGCAGATTGGCTGCATCCAGATTGTATAGTAAACACTAAGTTTAGCAACCTCGCTGCTGGGCTGCTTTAGTTCAATTTAGTGCATCATGTGCTTTCAAAGAGGAAGGATATGATAATTATTTATTATCATCCACCCTAATTTTTGGTAATATGAAGCTAAAGTCAGCTATTCGCCAGCTTCTCGATAGGGACATCATTAGACCTTGATCTATTTTTTGACATCAGATCTATTTTTTGCTTTCTATTGTCATTTAATTATTTATACAGGGTGATTCAAAAAGATTCATCCGATTTCAAAATGATGTTTAAGTAAGCATAAAGTTTAGGTTGTAATTTTACAAGTACTCAATATGAACCTCCTCCAGCTGTACGGACAACAACGTCATAGGTCAACGTCATAGTCAAATTCATCCCATACTCGATTGAGCATGTCGGGTGTGGCTGTACTCACAGCTCTTCCAATGTGATTTCGGAGATCATCCAGTGTTTTTGGGAGTGGCACATAAACAGAATCCTTAACGTACCCCCACAAAAAAAGTCACACAGCGTGAGATCTGGTGATGTCAGAAAACTCTATGACCCCCTCTTTCAATTGGTATGTGATTGGTTCCTAGGCACCTTGAAATCAGATGAATCTTTTTGAATGACGCTGTATTATTAATACATTATAGAACTAACTCAAGATGTGGGTGATAAGGCATGTGATGTTGTACACTGCTTCGAATTCACTGCAAACCTATGTTTTGCATACAAACAGCAGGGGGAGATATGACCACTTCCTTTTCATATACCTTACATTAATTTTTAACATATGATTGAGACACAGCATATTTTATTTCTGTCTTTCTATTTTGTAATTGTAATTCAGCACCCCTCTCTCTCTCTCTCTCTCTCTCTCTCTTTTTAGATTTTTTTCTGATGAAGGCATCAGCATTCATGCTTAGTTCTACTGTACCAATTCATGATGTATGATGGAGAGAGGAATTGGGGAATAAAAAAGGAAGAAAGGACGTGTCAAGTTGAGCTCCTCTCAGTAAAATGGTGAGCAGGGCAAGCACAGGCTTAGACAGGGAACAGGGGATCAAGTGGTGAGAGAGAAAAAGAGACTGAGGAAGAAAGACCAGGTCAAGCATTGAAGATTCAGTGTATAAACAAATACAGACAAAAAATACTGCTAGTTTAGTTTAGACTATCCTGTATTTTTTTTATAAACAAAATAACAAATACAAATAATATTAACACAACCAGTAGTGATTTTATGCATGTCAATGTTTTCCTTTAACCAGTTCCAAACTTCACGGAAGGCCAGCATTAATTGTAGTTCTCCGCCAACACTTGGTTTTACTGATCAAAACTTCATTAAGTTGAATCAAGCGAACAACTGAACAAATTCATGTGATGGCTGAGAGCCTTCAGGAGAAATAACAGATGCTTGTTACTTTTTACTGTGTGTGTTTATATCTAATGTCACTATAATAAAATGCTATCTAAATTGTTGCTGTTGGAGCAAAATTTGGAAAACATCTGAAACGTTTCTGCTTAGTTTTATATATATTTAAAAGTGCACTCTTAAAAAAACAAATAAAGGTAAAAACATAAAAAACAAAGGTGGAAAAATGAAGGTGTGAAAAAGCGTTCTTTAAGAAATCACATGAACGAGTGTGAAAAACCTTTAGAATGCTTAAAGAACCTCCACTGATGTAAAGGTTCTGCATCAATTAAACCTTTCCTAGAACCGTACATCCAAGCCAAGAACCATTATGCACTAAGTCATAGGTTTCCCACTGCAGCATAACATGAACCTACAGAACCACGACCTGTTTCCTTGCCGCTAGCTCTCCTCTGCTTAGCTCTGCCATCTTTCATTTCTTTTCTTTATTTTCAGAAGCTTCTTATGTTTTTTTTCTTCTGAGCTTAACAGAGCAACGGGCTGTAGAGACACAAGGAGCCTGGCCAGCAGAATGTGTGGA